GCCTTCACATCTCTAACTGCATAGCAAGAGAAGATGTTGCACTGAATCAGTTACTGTATTTTAGGTGTTTACAATGTGGCTGATTTTTGTTACATGGTAGCTTTAAACCTATACAAGTTTTATATTATGTTTTCTTGCATTATATTTTATGGTTTTAATTACTGTGAAACTCTCTTTGGAAACTGTGAACAAACACACATAAATAAATACATTCAGCATGATTAAGCAGCAAACCCTTCTGGAGGCTTTTTTTTTTTTTTTAGCTTAGAACAACATAAGTAGGAGGATAAAACGATAGGGTTGTATAAAATAATGAATGGTAGGGATAGGGAGAAAAACTGTCCTTCTCACATAATACAAGGACCCAGGGGTCATCTAATAAAGCTGAGTGGTGGAGGATTTAGGACAGAAAAAAGGAAGTACTTCCTCACACAGTCCCCAGTTAAGCGTATTACAAGAAGCGGTGATGGCCACCAATTTGGATGGTGTTAGAAGAGAATTATTCCAACTCATGGAGGAATAGGCTATCACCAGTTACTGTTCCTGAAACGCATTTGCTGCTTCCAGTGTCAAAAGCAGTATCCCTTCCTAGGAAATAGTGGCAGAAGGGATATGTCTGCCGCCCTCATATACTGCCTGTGAACTTTGCAAAGGAATCTGGTTTCTGCCTTGGTTTTGGGACAGGATTCCGATTCAGCACAATTGCTTAAGCATGCATCTCATTTCAAGAACAATTAGAATTGGAGGGCGTGGGTGGGAACTGGATGTGAAGTTGAAGCTTTTACCTTGATGTTTCCTTCAAAATCCATTTTAACAGGAGCAAAGACTGTGGATCCAAGTTTGTCTAGGAGGTAAAAAAACATTCCCTTGAGATGAATGGCTGCTTTTGCTACCACGCACAAAACCTTGATCCAGAGTGGGGCGCAAAGGGCTCAGCAACTCAGATTTCCTGGACCGTAAAGTCTGCAGCCCAGTTGTTTCCTAAAGCTTCTAGTGACTCTACTGTCCTCAGCAAATGGCAGAGCTACATCAATAACCCCCCTTTCCACAACCATGGGCAGGAGGCATCCAACGAGATGCAAACATCCACAGCAGGAGCTGGACGAAGGATGCAAAGTATTTGCTTCTTCTGTAAGGGATACGACCCAATTTCTGTAATGTTCTGTAGGAGGAGGAGTTTACGTCCAGGTTGATTCAGGCATCAGGTTCATGGCAAACGACATCATTTGTTTTTAGAGTGGAGACAAACACAAAAGCTCAAGTGAAAGAAGCAGCATAAAGAAGAGCCATTGTGCACATCAGGCACTGCACAGTCAAATGTTCTTGGTGGCTAAATATCTTCACAAGACGTTTGCAAGACTTTACAACCCCAGGAGCATCTCTCTGGCCTTCCCCACTGACAGCCCTGAGGAAGCGCCTCCAAGAGGAGGCACTGAGTGTACACTGGGGCGGCTTTGGAAATCTTGTGTCACTGAAGCCACAACGAATGCACAAACCAGGCCCTGCTGAATGACTCCAAACATTTTGCCACCTCTAAATTACCCTCTATAGTCATTGCCCAAATGGTCTTCAGTCCACTTCAGAGGTAAGTAAGTTGCAGCCCAGGGGCAGCATGGGGCCCTCGCCACCCCCTAAGAGAGTAACATGATCAGCCTTTTAAAGCAAAAAGGTGCCCAGTATGGCCACTGCAATACCTTTAAATCCATCCAGATATCAGTAGCTACTTGGGAGCAACAAACGGGTCAAAACAATTTTCAGGTTTAAATTTAGGTACATGGCCAATTGCAACCTTCATTGCTTTCTACCCATTGAAAAGAATGGCTCCATGATGCACCAGTCTCTATAATCCAGTGTCTGTTTATCAAGGCTCTGCTCTGGGGAGGGCAAGGGCCTCTGGGATTAGAAATCCAGAATGTCTGGAGATCTACCTTTTGTCTACCCCTGAGTAGGAGGCATAAGAACATGTTGTTTTTCCAAATCCATACTGGCGGTAAGCTGCACTGGATGCTGTTGTGTCCAGATACAACCAGGCTTTTTATTCCAAATAGAAGCAGGAATGCTATTGCCAATTGTTGGATGCTTCTGAGCACAATGAACATTATTCTCAGCAGTCCAGACAAGATCACATGTACTATGCTTTATTCCTACTCAGCAATCATAATTCTGTGCAGCCCCGTATGCAATCATAGTTAGAATGCTCTGCAGTCATTACAGATTTATGAACACTGTCACATGTATTTATAAATCTGTAACTGGAAAACTTTATCAATAATAATCTCACAGGTATTTGAATGCTTTCTGGAACTTAAAAAACAATTCAGGCTTTATATTAGGAAGTATGTAACATGGGCATGACTTAGCCCAGAGATTCCCAAGCCTTTTTGGGTCAGTTGGCATATCTAGGATTTTAACAGAATGTTGTGAGCACTCTCACAAAATGGCTACTATTGGCGCTAGGGGCCTACACATTCATTAAACAGCTGTCATGGTGGGCCTGGCTGGTCCAATGACATCCATTTTCCAGGAGAATTCAAAACAGACTTATACAAACAGAAGAGTCACCTAGTAAGAAATGAAATGTAGAAAGGAAGCACACATACCCAAGACTGGAACTATTTCATAGCAAGATTGCAGAAATTCTCCTGTGGGTATGCCTCCATCTTCCAAAAGCTTGATATCACTAAATCTTTGGGAAGAACACAAAGAAAGCACTAAGAATTCCTAGGTCATCTCAATCCAAAACAATGGGGAGAAAAATATTATTTATTAATAATATTTATATACCATTTATCATTTGAAATAAATCCCAGAACAGTTGGGATTTATTGGGAACAGTTGGGAACAGTAAATCCCAAAACAGTTTACAAAAGAATGAAAATGAACAAAAACAAGACAAAAAGGACACCCCCCCCCCCACACACACAGACAATAGTATCATGAAGTTAGTTCAAAACCAGTTCATTACAGTCAAAGTAACGAGCGTGCTGTCTATAAAGGCCTAAAACACGCCATCATAGAGGCCAGATGGGAGATCAATTCCACAGAGGTGTCAGTGCAGCAAAGGTCCATCTCTGTGTCATCAGCCAATGAAAATCCATAGACCACAGTACGGACAACAGGTCCTCCCCTGAAGATTTCAATAGCCTGAGAGGCAGGTATATGGGGAGATTTTCCTTAGACTTCCTTCATAATTCCATTTTTAATCCTATTTCAAAGCCAGTTATGCCACTGATCTTCCCAGGAAGGCCATTTTAGGAGTGATAAGTTTAGAGAAACTCATCAGCTGGCAAAGGTCTTTCAGATGGATCTTTGATTACAAACAGACCATACTTTTTTAAAAAAACTGCCCAATATACAGGACAGACCAACAGAACATTAATGCTTTCAAATACAGAAATGCACAGGGCTCAAGCATCCATTTTGGGAGCCAGTACAAACTTGTTTTACAAGGTCTCATCCCTGCCACAATCCCATCCCTGCCTGCACACAAGCATCTTTGACACTTTTTTTTTGAACAGCTTGCCACTTAAGAAAACACAAACCACCAATTCTAGTTTAACTGTAAACTCTTCTCTATGTTCAAGAGAAGGACAGCAACCAACTTTTCAGAATGTGGCTATTCCTGCTCCAAGCCTGCTTTTGATTTGCACCAATTACACAAGATCTGGACAACAGGAACTAGTTGAAGGAAAATAAACATATAATTAAAGCAAACTATGTTTGATTGGAAGCATGAACCAGTGTGGGCTAACTGTTAATTTATTCCCTGAAACTTCAGCCTTTTGACAAGTTTTTAGCAATTGGATCATACTAGTACACTAAAGAGAAGTCTTTGGACTAGTTCACACAATGCTAGATGCATGCAAACCATCCCAAGTGTACAGAGAAACATTAAGCTGTTGAGAAAAATACTACATATATAAGTCTGCAAGGATTCCTGTAAGGGCAATATTGCATTTTTTCAGCTGTTAAATTATATGAATTGCTGTGAAGTTATATTCAAAATCTTGTGATCTGCAAATAAGAATATACCTGCAAACCTTTGAAACTGGCCGCATGTGAACCATCTATTGCTATATCATCAACAGCAAACAGCTACCAGTTTTTCTCTGATAAACAGCTGAATATCAGTAAGCATGTGCAATTGGGAAATTCTGTACAGAACAGTCTACAAAGCAAATGCACCCTCCTGTGGATGGAACGTTACTGTTATTTTAATGTACTGCTGTGGACTGCCCAGAAAGCTTTGGCTGTTGGGTGGTACAGAAATTAAACAAACACACAAACATGTGAGCCCTCTGCACAAGATTCTTCACACATGCTGCATTCAAGAGGTACTTTACCTAACATTCATAGAGGTGAAGAAGGTAGGGAAATCTTTGTCTGTTTGCATCGATGATCTGTTCATGGAATCTACCTCCGGTTTTAAAGACGTATCTTGATTGCCCGCTTTTGGAGACAGTTGTTTTTTTCCATCTTCTGTTATACCACCTTGGGTTTAAGGGAATAGAAAATGTAACAGCACTAAACCAGCTAAGCCATTCCTGACTTTGGGAGAGAGACCACAGTGGATGCCATCTCTTCCATATTACTCATTCAGCTGTGTCTTGTATTTCAGGTGGGCTTGAAATGTGCCACTTTTTGCCTGCGTGTCTGGCACGTGGAACCTCTGAGTGGCAAAACTGGGAGATGTTTGCAGTTTGCCAAGCACAGCCTCCCCGTCTTTGCCTAGGCAGTGCAGTGCAGTGGTTAGGCACCATTTTCTGCCCAGGCCATTATACCTTTAGAGTTCACATTTCAGTGGCTGCATGCTATAAGTTGGTGGGACCAGAAGGCCCCCACACAAAATCCAGGCCAGATTGCCCCCAGTGCTGCTGTCTCTTTTCCACAACCCCCATCTATCCATTCAGACACCCAAATGCAACTTGCTTTCTGCCCCCCACCCTCTCTCTCACACACACACCCTCCACAGCCCTTTGTCTTCTCCCTCTCCAAAGCCCTTGGCATTTTGCTCTTCAGCTATTTTGGGGCCTGCAGTTTTCCAGTCGTGCCAAGAAGAACCATAAGAGATGGGACAGGTAAGCAGGTACACACATCGGCTTGGAGGTCTGATTGCAGAGCATGGCACCAGACAGGAAGTGAGAAATCCCTTTGTTAGGGGCCGTAGATAACATAGGGATTCCTATATCCAGGTCAGGAGGCCGGGCTTGAGGAAGAGTGTCCTGGAATGCTTGCCAGACTGGGTAGCCCTGTGGGCTACCAGCTGCCCTTCCATGGACTACAGCATCTTCCCAAAAGATACAGTGTTGCTTTAGCCACCACTTCCTGTGACTGGGCCTGAGTCTGTTATCAACCACGCTGCCTCCCCTTTCTGTGGGGGTGGACCCTGTGGGGAAGCTGTGGCGAGGCAGGGAGGAGATGGGCCGGGGGAGGACGGCATAGCTGCAGGAGGAGGTGCTGTGGATGACAGAGTGGGGCACGCAAAACTGGAAGTACATAAACCGTTAGATGCAGCTACAGTAATAGCAGATGTGCACCAGTTCCTTAGAGGCGAGGCACGCTGGTTTTTCAAAAAATGACTAATGCACGTTCAACAGCTATAGCCCTCCTTATAGTTCTGAGCAATAAGCATTCATGCATTTATTTACCTGCACTTATTTTTCCACTGCCCATTGTATCCTTTTTCAGGGGATCGGGGATCATACTATTAATCAAGGCTCGCTCAGGAAGGTTGGTGTTGGGATATATTGTTCCATTTTCACAATTCTTTAGTTCCATCTGCCTGGGAACAAAAAAAGAAAAGAACCCTAATTTTTCGATAAGGTTAACACTTCCGTTGCATAAAGCCAATGCATATATGGCTAGTCTTCTTTTCTCTATAATGGAAGCATACACCATAACGTTACACAAAATGATGGTGCCTGGACCTAGGTAAGGGTATGTGCATAAACCCAGGTTTTCGAATGTCGACTGCTGCCTGTATTGAATAGTCCTCTGAGCCAAGCAGCTGCGGCCATGTGCATAAAAGCCCAGTAGTTGATGGTCTGGCAATCAGCGTCTCCCCTGTTCTCTCACCAAACAGCTGATCGGTGGAATTTAGTTTTTAAAGGTGAAATCCTATGCATGTTTAAGAGGAAAAAAAATCCTGACAACTCCCAGCATCTTGCATCTCCAGACGCAGAAGGACCTTTTCTGTCTAAGAAAGAATTCTCCCTGTTGTATACGCATTGCATTGACTGGACAAACTAATGGAAGCCACAGAATTGCTTCACCTTTAAAGTTGCTGAGCGACCTTTCAAAGGTCTTTACAGTGCACATATTAAATAAATAAAATGTGAAATCCAGGACTAGTACGAAAAGACTAAGCAGTTTAAAGTGGTAAACAGTGACACTGAATTAACCATGGGAATAAACGGGTGCAAACCAATTTCTTGGAACGGATGTAAGCAGTTTCCTTGTGCGAGGAAGGAACTTAGTTTAAATTTGCAGGGGGTCAGAATGTGTTTCCTTCCAGATGTTGTCAGGGTCCAGTTCTCAGAAGTTGGGCTTGTGGCCAAAGGTAATGGGCGCTGCAGTCCAGCAAGCTTTGCAATGATTCAGGTTCCCCAGCACTGGTTTAAAGTATGCCCAGCAAAATAAGCGTGCTTTGCCATTCATTTTTCCTATTTCTAACAATGACCATGAGCAGGGTAAGGGTTCAAGTGGAAGGGGAAGCCACTGAGAAACCTCAAGACAAGATGAAAAAAAGAAGCGCAAACGTACCTTTCTGCTATACCACGACTAAATATATTTGGAAGTTTTAGCTGCAAGAAAAAGAAGATTTATTATTTTACTGCACTGGAAGCACAGAGAGGGAAGCACAGTAGCTTATACTTTTATGCAACAGAACAGCCTAACCCAGCTAGGTGCTCTCCAGATGTGTGGGACTACAATTCCCATCCTCCCTAGCTATCTGGAGGATGTTCAGCTGGAGAAGGCTGATTTTAGGTGCATCCAAGGAATATTAATGCAATCAAGACACCATTTTATATATGTATTTACTACTCCTGTTAAATGTATCAGAATCCATTCATGATAACAGGATGTCCGCAGCATATAATCAGACAATCAAAATGTCTGCACTATGCAGAACTAAAATCCCAGCTAATTGTAAGGTGTCAGACGGGTTGGGATGTGTATGTCACCAGAAGATATAGAGAAAAAGCAACATAGAAATATTTAAAATAATTACAGCATACCCTAAAATACAAGGGAGTTTTTTCTTGTCTTGGGGATAGGAAAGAAACCATTCATATGGTCCCCCACACTGCAAGCTTTTTGTCAACCCATCAAAACTGCTTTATTCTGTTGGGTATTTGATGCTGGGTCTCGCTGCTGTGCTGTTTCTGCACCTTTAAGCTTCCTAGTTTTGTTTAGTCTGAGATGGTCTTCTGCTTCCTAGGCATTATTTGTATTGCAGATGTTGCATAGGCACAGTGATATTTGTTGTCTCTTTTCTTTTCCCTTGCCCAATGATTTAAGGATTTTGAGCAGAAAAGCACTCCACATAAAAATAAATATTTTAGAAATGAGCAGTTCACAAACCAAGCACCAGCAGAAAGCAGGAATGGGTAATCTAGGGCCCAAGGGCTGTTTGCCACCCCCAGTCTCAGTTCAAAATCATCCTGCATGGCAAGGGCTGTCTTTGCCTTCTCTGACAGCTACTGAGAGGGAAAGGAAGTACGGGGAAAAGTGGGTGGCAGGAAAATGGATGGGTCTCCCACTTTTGACTCTACCTCTGGTCCTGGTTACCACTAGCTTCAGCTCCACCTTCCACAAAGAGATGGCCCCAGACAGATTGCCCACGAGGAAATGCAGACTTTGGCAGAAAGAAAGATTGCTCACTTCTGCTGTAAATTTCACGCCAATTTCTCCCAACCTTTGCTCCTTCCAGACTGGTTGGACTACAAGTCATATTACCTCCAGCCATCACTACCTTACTGCACTGGCTAGGAATGATGGGAGTTCTAACACATCTGGAAAGCAGCAGGATGGGGAATTCTGGTTTACACTAAGAATAGCCAGTATATTTCATGTGGAGGCAAAAAATTCCATGCTGCACCTGTTCTGAGTTTATACTAGTACATAGTCTGTTTGTGTGGAGAAGCCCTTAGCAAGTCAAAAAAGAAAGAAAGGCCTAAGCTTTATTCTCATGCTTCTGAAATCATTGTCAGGAGCACATCTGGATTCTCTAGCAAAACTACACTGTTTCTTCATGATTTTTCCACTTATTTACTTAAACCAGGGGTACAGAATCTCTTGCAGCTCCTGGGTCAGTTTTTGAATTCTGGGGTTGGTGAGCCTAAAATTCAAAATAAACTAGCATATTTCAGTTTAAATCAGAAATCCCAGAGGGCTGAATTGGGATACTAGGAGGGTCCACACTTGAGGTTCTTAATCCCTGACTTGAACATTTCACAATAGCACAGAAAATCTTCCATCAAGAGCTTGAATATCATCCATTTCACAATGCGGTTTTAATTTGCAACACTTTTGAAACAGCATACAGTTCAAGCATGCAACCTAGCAACAGATCCAGAGAAGGCCAGGTGTGCAGTAGCATCAGAAGTTGTCTGTGTTTACCTTGTTTAATTTGCGAAGAGCTGAAAGAGGAGATCCAGATGGTGTTTGGTAAAGCAACTCAGAAGAGAAGGCTGCATTTGCAATCTGCATACATTCTTCGAGAGTCTTTAAGAACGTTGTACAGGTGGACTTCAAGAGTGCTCCCATATCAATTCTATTCTGCAAAATTGGTAGGCTGTTTACCTCCCCAGCATTTCCCAACACTACAGCACCTGTGCCAATACTTGTTTAATATTTTGAATTACCAGCAGTTGTTATCTAAGTGCGAAGGCACGTCACAATGATATAAAAACACAGCAAAATACAATACAGTAAAGATAAATCAACAAAATAAAAACTGTAGATCGAAGGATTAAGATAACAGCAAAACACACAACTAAAAGAATTTTAAAATGGTTTTGTGCTGGTGGGGATATGATACCAAAATGACAACAATGTTAATGCCAGGCAGGCTTCCTTGGGTAGGTTGTTCTATACTTAATGTCACAACAAAAAAGGCTTGCTGATGTGGGATACTCATGTTGTTATCAATATCCGTATCAATATTATCATATCTATATTGACCAGGTAAGGGGGAAGCCAATCCCTAAGGTGCTCTGGTCACACCATCCATTGATTGTAGATGCTAATACAAAATCCTTACACCTAATTTGGTAGCACATTGGCAGCCAGTTCCATTCACTCAAGAAAGCAGTTACATGCTGCAGATAGAATGGCCCCATCAGCTGATCTAGAGTTAAAAAAAACAGCACTATACAATATACTCAGACCAACCCTCGTCAGATAGTTCCTCACTCCTAAATAATACCTGTATTATTCTTTTTACATTCTCAAAGATCTGAGAGTTCAATCTATTTTTATTTTCTTAAATACAAAGGTCACTATAAAGCAGAAGAGCCGGAAAAACAAGAAACCAATCCCTAAGAAAGGCTGAAATCCATCACTAATAAATATGATCATACATAATTGTAATCTTGGAAGCAACCCTCACAAGTAATGCAGCTTGATTCCAGCATATTTCTTCTGATCAGCTAAAAGCACATTAACATTCTCAAAATCTGTTAACTTGGGGCAAGAAGCAATATTAGATAAATCTCCTTCTCTCATTCTAGTGGTTAGTACAACAAATAATGACAGAAGATAGGTAGGCATTATATATATTTTAAAATGTTATTTTAATTTTTTGTTGTAAGCCGCCCCGAGGCTTCGGCGAATGGGGCGGCATAAAAATGTTTTAATAAATAAATAAATAAATAAAATATGAGTGGAACCGGCTGGAGCCGGGGGTCAGACTAGATGGCCCGGGAGGACCCTTCTGACTCACTCTGTTTCTGTGTTTCTAAGATCTCAACTGCTCTCTGCCCACAGACAGATGTTCGTCCCACAGACTCTAAGGACCCTTACGTCAGTTGTTTCTCCACGCATCCCGGCACTGTAGCTGTAGGAGAAGCTGGGCCTCTCTGCGGCCAAACCACTTCTGAAGACCCAGGTTTCAGTAACCGAGATGTGGATTTATGCACCAAACATTCCCTTCAGATATCCTTTTTTTAAAGATGGAAAAAATTGCCACAAGAGAAGGGTCAAGGAACTTCTTCCTGCCCAAGGGCCAAATTCAATTTGGAAAAGCTCCCAGAGGCCACATTCAAGATGACTGAAAACAATTCAGAGGTGACTGGGGCCAAAGGCAAAGGGAGAGGAGCCCAATTCAAAAATGCTAGCATAGTTTAGTTCAAAGCTCTTACCAGCAGCAACTTAGCTTTGGGACAGGCATTTCAACCTTCTAGAAAGAGGAAAAGTGGCAGACCAGCCAGGAGACCATCAAATGATTGCTGGCTGGGAGGAAAACAGTGGTAGAGGCAGGAGAAGAAGAAGTGGCATTTGTGGAATCCAAACGGCCCTGCTCTGGACCTGAGAAGGGGTGCATTTGGTCCCCAGATCTTAGGTTTCCCACCCCTGTATTACAGCATATGGTTGTCAGCAGCAAACGGATAACGATAAGGCGAGCCACAACCTCTTACAAACTGCCCACGTGGGATTACTGCTGTTTCTGCAGAAGTGCCTCAACTGTAGCTCCTTGGACAAGGACGGGCCATGTTTAGTCCCACGTTACCTCAGCTGCTGATGCGGTGGCCAGGCCAGTTCCCTTTGCTTTATCCACTTGCTGCACGAGGAGGTCACAATATAGCCGAAGTTCTGCCATTTTAGTTTTCAGTGCTTCAATATTTTCTGTAAATTCTACACATACACAGACAAATCAAATATACACTTTTCTGAATGTTTATACTGACTAATATTTGATTAAAAGCTGGTGCACCTCAAAATCTCAAAATTAAACAGATGTTATTCCAAAGGTGTAATGCCCAGTTTTAGACAATTGGGCATTATGTAATTCAATGGCATTTTGGAAGGTGAATATTAAATACTGGATATGAAATTGGAAAAACAAGCATGACAATATGAATTTAATATACTAAGGGTGTAATCCTATGCATATTTTGACAGTACTCCTCATGCTGTGAGTTGTAGGACTTTTTCTCTCTAAACATGCATAGTATTCAGCACTAAATCAATTTCTGATGGTGATAGAGTATGCAGACTTCCAAATTAGACAGAATTGTCTAGGTAGAATGAAAAGGAACCAAGTTCCAGATTTTAAAGAATATTTGACATATCTTACAAAAAGTGTAGAAAAGAGAATAATTTCCTGCTAGTTGTACTTGACTACAGGTTACCCAAAAATTACACTGAAGTCTACAGCTAGGGTTAGAAATAATACTAAAAGGAAATCCAAGGTTTAGAAACAACCAAATTTCTACCTGATGTGATATAATCAAATCAGGAAATTAAACACACATTATTATCTGAAAATATGTGTGAAATAAGGAATTAACCTTATATCATTCAATCATTAGAGTGCTAGACTAGAACTGGAAAGATTCAGATTACAATCCCCGTTTGGCAAAGAGGCTCACTGGGTGACTTTGGGCCAGTCACGGACTTTCAGCCTAACCTACCTCAGAGGGTTGTTGTGAGGATAAAATTGGGAATTGAGCACCTGAGAAGAAAGGTAAGTGGAATAAATAAATAAATTAAATATATTTTCAGTTTAACAGGCCAGGTTAAGGGTCATGTTGGTTCAAGTTTAATTACTGCCATCCTTTCATGGTTAATTAATGAACTAACAGACTCAGTTGTTCTTTCTTTCCGTAATATTTCGTGACAGAATCAGCACAGACAGCAGTTGTACTAAACAGATTCAACATTTTCATGGACATTTACACAGAATACAATGCAAATAATCTGTTTGAGTTCCATAACAGAGAGAAAAGATTGGAACTACATGTTTAAAATGACAGAAGGCTGTGAAGTATGACAGGGAGGCGACTCCCAAAGGACCATTACTTGCCTTTTTCTTTAAGTGTCCGGATATCTGTCAAGCAAGCCTTGGCAGTTCCTAAGGCAACCAACCACTTTTGTCGCTCAGCTGCATTTCTGGCTTTCAGATAGAAATATTGTTCTCCAGGGATAATCAAATCCATTCGCAGATTATCTGTAGAATGAACTAACATCAAAAGTGTTAGAACAGACACAGGAAACTTATTAAAACCTATGTAGTTATATTCTGGCCTGCTTCAGACATAACATATTTTGGCTTATTAAGGACACAGTCCAATGCCTGCTCAAACTCAAAAAGGGTCTTACAACCTGCAGCTCCCTCCAGCTGGTTATCCTGGCTGGGGCATGCTGGGAATTGTAGGAAGATTTTTCCCTCTGTATAAACACACAAATGAGCCTTCTGTCCCATTCCTTTATGGCATGCCTCCATTTAAGATCTCCTGGCTTAATTGACTTGGCTTAATCTTAATCCAGGAACTATATTACCAAAATCAAATCCAAACTAAGACTGTAAATGCAGATCCAACACCAAGAGGTCTTCACTTTCAGTACACTAAGGCTCATGTATATCTTGCTTAATAAATCACAGTACATTCCATCCAAACTAAGCCAGTGGCTAGGTTTAAATGCTTGTCCATGATTTCATAAACCATACCTGGTTCATCTGCTTCATCTTTTGTCCTCTTCCTACAGCACATTCTGGCCTACATCTAATTAGAGCTTTCCATTATGCCCAAAGAAGGGAATTTTGGTTTCCTGTCATTTACAAATCAGGATAATAAGCTATCCAGACACTCTCACTAGTTAATCAACATTAAACTTGGAATCTCTGAATATGGATGAATAGTGGGACACTCTGACCTAGTGCAAGAGAGAATGGCCATGCCAAAGTCAGGAGAGAGAAGAGATGGATGGAGGAGGATTGGGCAGCCATGGCACAGCTTTACAGGCAATGGTGTATAAAACCATGGAATGACATCCAGTAAGCAATAAAAGTTATGCAGCAGGTTCTTGTCTCTCTTACCTACCTTGAATTTCACATACTGCCATCTGGATGCTTCCCTTACAGCCCTTCCAAGCATCTTCCCTTGAGTCATAATAGGATAACACACCTCCTGCAAGAAGGAACCATCGAGGCTGCCAGCCTGGAAAGAAGCAGAATAGGGTTTTCAATTGCAGGCAGAAGAAATACGCACATAATTAGTTGCTATGTACAAGTCCATTTGAAGCAAAAGCAAACTGCATAATTAACAGATTGCTCTAACAGTTCTATAACTGAGCTATAAGTTATATATGTATGTACAACATGAATACTTTTCAAAAACAGGATCCAAAAATCTAATGCTATAATAGAAATATGGAAAAGGAAAGGGTTAAAGAAAGATAGGAGCAGAGCAACTAACCTTTGTAAGAATGTGTTAGAGAGCAAGATTCCTTAGCTAGCAAGATTCCCTGATCAAACCAAAGCAGATGCAATCCTAATTGCTAAGTGTTAGTCAACTGCAAGGTGTTTTTCTCAAACAGGTTAGCATAGGTTAATTTAGCGAAGCAAACATTGCTGATAATGGGATTGGTGTTATTGTTGCCAGATCTATGCATATAAAGCTAGCAAAAATATACTTGCTGTGGAGGTGGGTGGATTATTAGTTAGGAACTACCAGCAGATCTCTGGATGATTTGCACCAGATTGACAAATCTGACTCCCCATTTGTGAAATGCCTTCTTGGTGGCTATTCCCAGGCTCTGGAATTATTTCCCAGGCATGTGTCTGCAGCATCTGGCTACATGTCAGACACATTACCAGTACACCCCTATACATGTCCACTGAGATATAATTCTCAGGGACTTCAATGGGGCTTTCTCCCAGGTAAATGGGTATAGGATTGCAACCTAATTTAATATCAATTTGCGGCCAGACACAAATCTGCCAATGCATCTATTATAACAAGAGGTTTGAAGAATACAGGCAAACAATGCAAAACCTCCCCAACTCTCCAAGGACACTGCAGTGATTCGTTATTGCTGTAGCATGCATGGCACATCTGCTTTGAATTATCCAATATAAGAAAAGCATAAGGGACATGCTGAAGTCGCAGTGGGGGGTGGGAAACATCCAGTGATTGCCAGGAAGTATCCAGGGATTCAATTTGTGTTCTTTAATATGAAGAGGCATGAATAGAAGAGGTGGGATGTGGAAAGAAGACAGAAGCAGATTTTTTAAAATGCACCACGCAGTGGAGGGGAATCAGATAACATTGCTTTTTAACAGCCCACTGTTTATGTGACTTGTGAATGGATCAAGCTTTACTTACACGACTCTCAGAAATGGACACACTGGGCCACCCTGTCTGAACAAATGCCATCCAGCATTCCAGGGCTCAGCCCTGCCGTAGCACACCTGCACAGCCCCTAAATTTATTGATTATCTATTGCATTTGTATGCCGCCCCAAAGCCAGAGGCTCTGAAGGAACCAGTCTCCTGAGGGAGAATGGGGAAAGTACAATTCAGCTTCTCACAGCCTACTAGCTTCCTTCAAACAATAAGGACTGCAAAGCGATGCGCTTGTTAAGATGAACCACTGACAGCTGAAAATGCTATCTCAGGGTCCAACCACATGGAAACATTTAATTGAAATCAACTAATATGTTTTAAAATGAAAGAACCCGGCAGTGCACGGGTCTACCATCCATTTAATATGCACTCCCAGTTTCAAAGGTCAAGCTTTCATGGACTTTGCACTGCCGTGCTGATGGACAGACAGACAGACAGACAGACAGACATCTGTTACTATTACAGATTTCTGAGCACAGAGATAGAACTATACACTGAGAAGGCACTATTTACTTTAGAACTTGATGGCATTAAAAATGACCATGTAAACCCTTCACTTTACCTAAGACTGCAATTTAATTGTTGGAATGCCCCCGGTCCTAAAAAAAAAAAAAAATCCTTAATATGCTATTTGTCTTACTATAGTAGCAGAAATGCTTCTTCTTCATACAACTAATTCATAATTTCCTTTCATGGACTATACTAATCTGTGCAAGACTCCTTCATGTTACAGTTTTGAGGCTCTATTGCCATATTTTACAGCCCAGCAAAAGCAAGGGACAAAACTCAAGCATGTTTTTATTGCTCGGCTACTGAACAAAATTAAATACTGCTATCTTTGCAAGACAATCCACCAGGCCTTTAGAATAGCTTTCTCCTACTAGTGCAGACTGGGAATGGTGGGAGTTGTAGTCCAACCAATTTGGAGAGGGTGCCAGGTTGGGGAAAGTTGCTCTAGAATGTGAATCCCAAGATTTACTTTTTAATTGATACAGAAATGCACAAGGGAAGAGGGTTCAAAGCAAGGCAGTGACCTTTAAAACACCCAAATTCTAATTGAAGAAGTATGTGACCACTGAGGCTCCAGGCTACAAACAAACTTATTTGTCTTTAAGAGGCCCTAATATTCTCTTGATGGTTTTGCCATTTAGTCAGTAAAAATAAATAATCCATAAAACAAAGGCTACTTATTGAGAATGCACTTGCTGGATTTAGCTTACGTTTGAAAGTGTTAATTGATTAGTTTGTTAACAGTAAGTGTGGGGTTTAAAATTGCATTTTAATTAGACATGTTCCATATGAAAGGAGGCTTATGGCATCCTTAGAATAAAATGTATATATATGGATTGCATGCAAATTTGCCTATGCTTTTCAGTCAAGAGAACTGGCATTGATGAGAATGTATAGACCTTGTGTAAGATTTGATTCATAATTCATACTGTTTATCTTCAGCTTGTGTGTGCGTATCCAGCTTGTGTGTGTAATGTGGGCTGTCAAAATCCTTTTGTACCCAAAAAAGCTGAATCTTGTACATAGGCATGGTCTATTGTTCTAAGCAATTGATTAGTTAAAGAACATGTAAAGTCGGCCTGAAAATGCACCAAAAATACAAAGGAAAGGCCGGTTATGGGGAAAAGCTCACGAGAACAACAGAGAGGGTGCAATATACTGGCTTCACAATGTTTGCAGCAACACACTTTTAATCTATGTCTTGTCCAATTCACCATAGCCAGAAGCAAACATCTCTAGGTAAGCACTCAAGATAGATCATAACAGAAGTAGCCAGTTTAAGAGAAAATGTACAAGCTGTGGCTGGATCCTGTGCCACAAACATCTTTCTGTCTCCTTTTGGCGAGTGGCTGTAACACTACCTGCTGCTTGACGTAAAAGATGCCAATGGATTTTTATTTTTCCTGCCTGCCTTCATCTTACCGGATCTCTAAACCAGAATGAATTGAGCACACACTGAATCCTCATACAAAGAAAGGGGGAATGAACTGGATGGGGAAGCTATTCTGGATAGGGAACAAACAAGATGGTTTCCTTTTACCATCTCATTTTATTTCTACTAAGGATTGCTTATCTAACAATGCAACCGTCACCTGGAAAGATACCTTGTTACCCAGAAATCACAATACATGCTCTATTCTCTCTTAACTGGACCATAACAGATCTTGCACTTCCATATTGGGACTTGTTTACAACATGGATTACATAAACCCAACCCTTCCATGTTCTGCTTTATCATCAGACATTTCCAATATCTATACAGATTAACTTCCAGAGTGAGTAAATGGAAGTACTCATGGAATTGGGTTAATCCCAAAGGCACATTATGCTACTAAATCAGATTAAATCTGACCTAGCTATCCATCAGGCTAGGAAACTACTCCAAAGTGATTTTATAAATGAGGATTAAAAAAAAAATTAAAAGTAAATTGAGTTCAGAATCTTAACAGGAAAAGTCTCCTGATATCCTCATATTAGCCTCATTCAGAAAGAAAATGTGTATTCTCAAATCTACATAATCTGTTTTAACTATTAACAAAAAGGTATCCCTTTTACTAATATACACTTCAATTATTCTAATGCAGGGATGATTCTGGCATTAATGATCAGAAAGTATTGATTTACTTAAAACAGAACCATTAAACTAAATGAAGGCTCAGGTTAGCCATGACTGAATGTGGAATCAACCAACATTAGGGCTGGAGTTTCTTATAAACCAGATAAATCTGCTTTAACTGAGTGCCATTTCTCTTTGATGGGTAAGTGCATGGAACTTCATGAAAGCTTAGTTGAAAGAAAGACAAAGCAAGCATGAACAGGGAGCATGTCTTTAAGCAACACTGGAAGAACTACATGTAGCACAAGGCATAAGGTTGAACTATGCACTACCCACTACTTTGAAAAAGAATCATGTTCTTGTGAGCTGCCTCAAACTGCCAAGGATGACTCCACCCACGCCAATGAGCATGCCAGTGTTTTGAGCATTCCTAAAGCAACTCTTCGGATCTTGGTCAGAGCAATTCTCTCCCTCTGCAATTCTCTGCAAGTTTTCTCAGTAGTCTGCCTCACGGCCTCTAATGGGACTTATTCCCAGAAGCATATATACACGACTGCAGCCTGAATGGGCTTGGATCCTAGTATTTCAGCTCAACTTACTGGTGGATAAGGATGCTTTTCTGTCACATTCTTATGCACACTTACTTGAGGGTGGGCTCTTCTAAACTCTGTGGAACAAAATTCCATATAAACATGGGCAGGAGCGGACTGTTGGGCAAACGTGAAACTGTTTGTGCCTTAAGATAAACAGTGGATTATGCCCAAGCAACAGATTGCACAGATGCCGGCCTCTTTAGAAAGTTTCTAGACCTCATGGCTGCTGAAGAATGAATACAGACAACTGTGCTAGAAGCTTATGAAGAGAAGAACGGGTCTTGAAAAGCACTTTAGTGACAGGGCAAGACTTGCTTTCAGTTGCATGCCCTTCCCTAGTTCTTGATCTCCATACAATTCAAAGAGCAATGAACTACCACTCTTCAAATGTGCACCTACCTTGTCCTTGCCTGGGCTTCTATAATCCCTGCACAGTGCACAGTCACCCAATATCTGTAAGAAGCTAAATATGACAGCAACGTTTTGTACTAATACGCCTTTCATGTTGTTACTGCCTAGGAGAAAGCTACAGTATCCATCGTTTAAATTAAGTTCAGGTTAAATAAATGGAAAGAATCTGATTGTACTCTTTCCAGCAATAAAAAAGTCCTATTTGTTTAAATAAATGTTTTGCATTATCCCGAGCTGAAATGAAGTATAATTCCATGCTTAATCAATCTTCACCACCACGCTTTCCTTGTTCTGCTATGCAGTGAAAGAGAAACTGCCACACCTCTTTAGCTCTGCATGATGAACTTCTGAATCCATTCACCACACACCCTTTTACTGTTTACTGTGTAACTATTTATAGGGCAAAGTCTATCTATAATATACTAGATTCAAAGATAACAAATTCCTTTAAAGAAAATGCTCACTATGCTAACACTTGCTGTAATGGGCCACATCAGGCATGATCATGGCAGTAGCAAATTATACAATTTCGCTTACCCTCTGGGTCAGTTGGCACAAGGCATATTTACACTAGCAAACATAGTGCCTAAAATAGGAGATCATGGATAAAACTGGTAAAGATTCCCACAACAGTGCCAATTTTTAAAAAGATCTATAACGATCAAGGGAATCCTTTTTAAGGTATATCCTTGATTACCCATTTCATATTACTTATGTGTATTTGAGTGCATGTCTGTGACTGGATGGGATCACCTGTGTAACCAGACCTTCCATGCCATCAAAATTAGGCAAGAAGGCTCAATGTTTAATGACAGAGCAAACAACCTGGAAGAACGTCATTCCTATTGCTTCATGACATTGCTTTGGAATGGCTAGAAAAGCTCTAGATACATCTTACAAATAAACAAAAGTCATTTAGGAAGCATAGCTTATCTACATAAAATGATATTTTTATTACAGAAATAGATTTCACTTTGTATAATTCCTAACTAAGCACTTTTTAAAACAAGAAACAGTAAATAAAGCTTGAAATGTGAATCATCTTCAGGTACACAGTTGCAATCCTCCATGCACTTACCTGAAAATAAGTCCTATTGAACATAGAAACACTTATTTCTGAGTATACAAGCATACAATCCTGCTGTAAGTGACCACAACATTTGTTAAAAGTCTATTTAAGTTAAACTATTTGCTCTGTGCCTAATGAGTCTGCAAGTCCCAATGACATTTTCTGGACTGAAGATAACCACACAGACTTTCTTAGGGACTGGATTGGCCCTAACTTGAAAATTCCATTATTCAAGTTGTCATGTGATATTTCAATGTCATATTTTCTGTATGATTAATCTAAGCTTGTTCACACTTCACTGCTTTGCTTCTGTTTATTTTTTATATTACTGTGTGACTGCCCAGTGGTCAAGTACCAAAACCAGTAATGTGCTTTCCCAATTGCTTGAGCACCACAAACATCAGAACAGAGACAACATTTGCAACTTTTTTTTTGTTAGCAACTCTAAATTTAGTGAACGGAAGAAAAACGTGTCTGGCAAGATTTTTGGTCTCATTTTTAAGAGCAGTACACCACTGATACAGAAACCAAAGGATCGAGCAAACTGACAAAATAACTTATAGTCATCTGTCACCTAGGCAATGGCAGATTCCTTTAACTTTTGATCTACTCCTCCAGACTACATGGATAATCCAAGCTGTGGCCAGATGCAGCTCGCGGGAGGTCCTTCTTTAGACCAAAACTATCTCCTTTGCCAGCATCTCTCCAGGATCCTTTTTTAGCAGAAGTTTTCACATCACCTGTTCCCTAAAATCCTTTTTAACTTGAAAGACAAGGCATCCGATACAGCAGCTTCCGCATGCAAAGCAAGCGCCACCGATCCGCTAAACAGCCTCTCGATTTTGGGGGCAAAACTGGCATATCCTAGACTAGTGCCTCCCATCCAGATATTTCGCTCTACCACTCCCAACATTCCTGACCCCCGGCCGTATCGACTAGGGCTGATGGGAGTTGAAGTCCCAAAGTCTCCCTTCGGGAAGGCTGCTCTACTCTTTTGCGGTAGCGTTCCCTCTGCAGTACTTGGGGACACAATCCACCAGCGGAGAGTAAGGATCAACCATCTGCAGAAAGATCGCCTTTTCTCACCCCCTCCCGCCCCTGCAGGCACAGGCACTGTCCCAAGATCATGACTCGCACGGGCCGCAGTTATCCCACTGGCCTGTGTGGTGACAGCAAGTGAGGGAGGAGAGGACAGAGGCAGGTTTTACTCACCGCTCAGATAGTTGGTCCACTTGTATAGTACCCCTTCCATGGTGACAAGGGCCCCCCCATCCAGATCTGCTTGGGACAGGGGAAACCTCTCCCCTGGCCTTCCCCCGGGAACTTTTACGCCCTCAGCCCCACGGCTGAAACACGGGCCCCCAGGGTCATCCTGAGGCTGGCAGAAATGCGCTCCGCCTCCCCGCCTGCCTTCTTCCCCTTGACCCTACCGACCAACCACGCAGGGCTACGCTGTTAGAGTAGAAATCCAGGGCCCATTCCAACTACGGAATTTGCTCGTCACGGGGAGTGGCGTAAACGCGTTTCAGAATACAAGCCCCCACGTGACGGTCAGAAAGGGCGTGGTTCGAAAGCTAGAAAGCAGATGAGACCTCGGGAACCAATGAACGTGCAATACTCGCCTTAAGGTCAGCCAATGAGGGCAGGGCAGAAGCCGGTTGTATTGTGCTGAGAGATTCCGAAATATATGCGCGGCGTTCTCTTCTTGGAATCTTGGGGCGGCCAATCACGGCTCGCGGATGGGAGCTTCTTAGAAGCTTGAGAGAGGAAAAAAGTGGAGACGAACAGCTCTCTTTCCCAATGGAGAGTCTGGATTTTGATTCCGGCCCTTACACTCAACCAACCAGAATGAGGGAGAGGAGGGTAATCAATGGGTACGAATGGCAAGACAGGGTTTGTCAGCTTTCAGCACGCTTTGGGGGCAAGTTTGCCACGTCTGCGGATCTGGGGAGTGGGAATGGAGCATCGTGGGATGCAGAAGTTACGAATGAGCCCTGTCGTGTGCGCTTCCTCGGCGCTGCCCTGAATTGCGGAGGAGCCTGCAAAGCTTCTGAAGCCTCAAAGTTTGGGAAGTGCTACTTGCATGGAGCGACGGTTCAAAAAACAGATCTTTGATAGTGATGGGAAAGGCACACTTTACGGGGTCGTAACATTTTATTGACAGTTGGTTTTAACTATTTTGCATTGTTTAAAATTTTTCCATATTTTAATTCTGAAAGTCAGCTTGGGTCTTTTTTTTCCTTTTTTAGAAATATATCTAAGAATTTTATAGCAATAGTAATAATTTTAAAAACTGAATCCGCGCAATCTTTGAGATTTTTAGGATAGTCTTGAAATGCAGTGTCATTGGACTATTTATTAAGAAACCATCGCTTTTGTCCATCGCTACGTGTTTTGATGATTAAAAAAAATTGTATGATGTATGCTGGTTTAAACTGAAAGGCGATTATTCACCCGCCCTCCAGAAAAAATGGAAGGTACTTGTTGGACTTTCCTTTCTTTTGCTTGCGTGGCTTTGGCGACTGGAGCTCTCATCCCAGAACCAGAAGTAAAGATCGAAGTGCTCTATAAGCCGTTCATTTGCAAGAGGAAAGCTAAGCTGGGAGACATGATGTTGGTGCACTATGAAGGCTTTTTAGGGAATGGCACACTTTTTCATTCCACGTGAGTATTCCTTCCAAAAATTAGTGTTTGCCATAGTGAGAAATGACGTGAAATTCTGTGTTGGACAGATATGAAACTTGTAGTAGGCATGTCATTCCACTGATAGGTCATTGGGTCAGGTGATATATGGAAGTTTTACTATTGTAATAGTAAGTCGGAGTGCTCCTCCTTCCAAGAGGCCAAGGTGTACATGATTTTCTCCACCTGCCTACCTTCCCCATTCTGTCTTTACAACAAACCTGTGAGGCAGGTCAGGTAGCGGGATAGCGACTGGCTTCTGCACCAGCCAGGCTCCAAACAGCTGGTGAGGGGACCTCTTGGATCCAGGAAGAATGATTCGGTGGAAAACATCAGCACAGAGGGTATACCAGAGGAGCAAGGCTAAGTGACACAATTATGGCCGAAGAGTAAAATTCTGGGCTACTAGGCCTAAGCCTTGATGAGAGAAGGCAAGCATGAATTTCACTTAGAGCACCTATGTGACTAAGGTGCAATCCTGTACATGTTTTGACATACACCCACACTCCCCCACACACAGAACTGTAGTATTCCCCAGCCGATCATGATGTATGGGGAATGCTGGAAATTACAAATGTCCAAATCTCAAGTTGGGCAGCTTAATAGGATTAGCCTGTGACATTTTGTTTGGCCTTGATAAAGCCTTAATTAACAGTTAAGTTGGTATTGTAAGCTGCCCCAATTATTGACCGTGGCCTAAAGACTGTTGTGTTGCTATGAGATGTGTACACATAGCTGTGAGCAGGTATCTTTTTTCATACAAAGGCCTGATGTTCCATGGAAACATAATCAATTGGAATCTACAGTCTTTTTAGTGCCTTTTGGGGGTCCTTTTGGTGTATCTGACCATGCATGTGTTCTCACCCAGTTGCCCCTGCGGCATCTGAAGATCTCTGGCAAGGGCTGACTTAGCAAGGTAATACTGTTACTGCCACCATCACCTCCTAGAGGCTGTGCATGGAGGAGGATCACCCCCCCCCCCAGCGCTTTCAGCAAACCGCACTGTCTGTCTCTCTCCTGCTCACAGGATCAAGAAGAGGTGCAGATTCTCAAGGGTCATAGCGAATCCACCTTAGGTTCCTGTCTGGCCCTCTGGGATTTCCAAGACACCCCCCCTTCCCCTGTCCACATTTGCATGAGCATACCTTTGCTGAGCCCAGAATTTTGAAAATGCCTCCTAGTACATAACAAGCCTTGTGAGAGAATTAATCCACACTGGCTTGTCATTATGTGTGAACTGGCTCCTTGAGTCAAGGGCAAATATTCAGGAAGTCTGCTTTGTGGATGACACCAAATTATGTGGAATGGCAAAATGCAAAGAAGGTTGTGAAGAGCTTTAAAAGAAGGGTGTCAAAGCAATTGAATAGTATATAGGTGTTCAGTGCTGTGAAACACAGCAGAATGTGAGATCTCAATTGGCCATAGTCTCTTCAGATAAGCATCTTAAAGAGCTGCCAAGTGAGGCTTTTGTGGCATCATTGCCCTGCCTCATCCACAGGAGTTGATGGGGGGGAGGCGGTTCAGTCCCCATTTTCTACTCATGATCCTGCCAAGTTTCTATTCATTCCGTCCTTTTGCTCAACATAAATAATCTGTTGAGGAAAAAAAAGATGGAACTAGCTGCAAAGTGCCTTCTAATTGCTAGCCCTGGGAGCCCTCTGTCTGAAAGCACTGTCTAGGTCATTGTAGAAAGTCTGCCAACTTTGTTCAACCCATCTTTAAATGTTAGTGGCCATCCTCCACATCTTGGCAGCCATGGATTCAATAAGATAACTTTGCCCTTTGTGGCGAAATAATTCCTGTTTGTTTCCTGCCAGTAATGTACATTACTTAGCTAGAAACCAGGGATTTAGAAGTCCTTTCTTAATAATATAAGGAACTTTGATCATAAAGCACTAACCTAGTCATCTCTTGAGTCAAGAGCTCTTCTAGTAAAGAAGATGCCTTTAAGCTATTATTTTAATTACAGTTAGACTGCCACGTGCTAAGGACAAATTACACTTGAGTGACTGCCATGAGACCCCAAGGTTGAAGATTGAGTGCAGAAATTGATGGACCTTCGGTCTGATACATCATGCCAATTTTTTTTCCACTGTAAAGCAAAATGTATTTTTATGTTTCAGCCACAAGCATAACAATGGACAACCTACATGGTTTACTCTTGGTATAAAGGAAGTTATCCAAGGATGGGATAAAGGTTTGATGCAGATGTGTGTTACAGAAAAACGCAAGCTAACAATCCCTCCGTCATTGGCTTATGGAAAAGAAGGGAAAGGTAATAGTTCTTGTGAACTCATTCCTGGTTTAAGAACCCCTTAGGAAGGGTCTGCAATCTTTTTAGTTCCTGGGCAAATTTAGCACTGTGAGTACCATCTGCACTCTCAGAAACTGGCAGCCAGAGTGGGTGTGTCTGCTTAATCATAAAAGGAAAATTGGAAAGTTTTCCTTAATCAAAAAGGAAAACTAAAAGCAAAGCAACCTTACTGGCAGGTAGACATGTATAAGATAGCCCTGTTAGTCCACTCATTACAGTGCCACACCAAAACTGCAGAAATCTACCTAGGTAAGTAAAAAGCATGCATCCCAGCAAATAGCTCCTTATGCTTCTGATCATAGTAGCTGAACAAGACCAGCAGAAGAATGCAATATAAGTGTTGATGATGTCTTTATTCTTCATAACATTCTTATTCTTGTTTCATTCTCAATTTACCATGTTAGGAAAAATTCCACCTGACAGTGTGCTGATCTTCAACATTGAGCTTTTAGAAATCAGAAATGGACCGAGGTCTCATGAGTCCTTTCAAGAAATGGATCTTAATGATGACTGGAAGCTATCCAAAGAGGAGGTAAATAGGTTCATACATTCTACCATTGTGGCTAATAGGAAAAAAGCATTTAGTTCTTGCTTCCTTTGAAGCTTGGTTATGCAAATATGCAGTTTGTGGCTAAAATCTCTAGTACTGTAGTGTTTTGAGCTGAACTATATTGGAATTGAGCAAGATCTTAAATTGCTGTACGTTCAGAGCTCCAGTGTTTTACAGCCTGTTGATTCGGAGGATGCATGACCAAGGAATGGCACCATGCCCTTTCAATAGTTATTTGCAAAACAGGCTTACTTGTAAGGAGGTATACTTATAGGTATTTATCCAGCCTTCCTTTGTGAGCAAAAGGATAGTATTTCTCAGATCTCATGAATAACACTGTAGGACCATTAACTCTTTCAAGTAACTCTTGCTATTCATGGAATTTCAGCATGTCTTCTGTCAACTGCATCTTTGCTGGTTTAGTTTATAAGTAAAGGTGCTGTGTATGCCTGCTTTTTCTGATGTATCCTAAGAAATGTAGTTAGCACAGTGGTCTAGATAGCATGCAATCTTCAGCCATGGTTCAGCGTTGTAGCATCAGCCTTATACTTGTTGGGTCCTCCAGTGTAACCACAATGTAGATCAAAAGTTTCATTTCTGTTTTCAACTAACTATGATTTCTTATGTCTTGAACACAAACAAACTGAGGTTAGTGGTAAAAGTGATCTATTGAAACAAGTCAGGATCACTATCCAGGAATTAAACTTTGCTTTTTTCAGTAAACCATATTTTAACAATGGATTAGCATTTAGCAGGCTGTTTGTAACCAGTTATAATAGTTATATTACAAGCTTCCAAGAGACTGGTATAACAATCTTTTGTCGTAATAGTATCACTACTTCTGAACTTTCTAATTTCTGCCACTTCCAGATAAGGCATTTGAACAGCTGCTTAATTAAAATAGTTGTTTTTGTATCTTGTCCCACAGGTAAAAGTATATTTGAAGAAGGAATTTGAAAGGCATGGCGCACCAGTCAATGACAGCCACCATGATGCTTTAGTTGAAGACATCTTTGAAAAAGAAGATGAGAACAATGATGGGTTTATATCTGCAAGGGAGTTTGTTTATACACATGATGAGCTATAACACATTTTGAAGTAATTCCCAGTGAGAGAAAGCACTGACCTTCAAAACTAATACTTCTAAAAGCCTTTTATTTTGTGTTGTGGAGCTGCCTGTTACTCGTGGGAGGGAGATGGCAAGGCATATTTTTCTACATTATTCTTGATACAAAATGTGAGTGTGTTTATACATAAACTGGGAGCATTTCAAGTAAGGCTTCTGTTCAAATGAAACTTTAAATAGGACACCATATTATGTATATATTTATTTTTGAAACATATGAAACAAAACCCTTTCCAGTGTTTATTGTTTAAAATTTCATTCCTGCACTTTCTGCCTTGATTCTCTGTATGGACAAGTCAGTCATACCTTAGTGGTCCTCAAGTACTTGGTCTATTTTTGTGCCCTGAGAACAGTGTGCTATTCTTAAAACTTTATTAGCCACATAAAGAGCAATGTTGAGGTCCCTGGGAAAGCATGCTGGGGCCATAGAGTTGTTCAGCCTTTTGGGAGAGGAACATTCTGCACAAGCTCTCTGGTGGTTCCTCCTCTGAGACTGCAACAGTCTCAGCAGGGTTCAGGAAGAACAGAGGGTGAGATAGTGCTTTTGGAGGTGGGGGGCATGGATCCATAAACCTTTCAGTTTCCCATGTGGCCTGCTGGAAAGTAAGTTAACTAGATGAGTTCAAAGATTTATCTAGCAGAACCAGCATTGGAGGAACCAAGGAGCTGTAAAAACCTCTTATCTTCTTCCCAACCTGGCAGCTGCATGTTGGGAAGTCCTCTATCTTGACTGTGGAGTCTATAGTAAAGCAATGACCTAGTTTACCCTTTAAGGGAGAAATGCTGTGGCAGTTAGCCAGCAGCTGAGGAGCTGTATTCCCCTCTACCCTCCAAAATAAGATAGTTTTCTATCCCTCCCAGCTGGTGCAATTCAGCTGCTTTGTGGCTGCAGGATGGGAAGGAGACTGGAGAGGCCAAAATATAACCTCTCCCCAGGCTCTGCCAGCCTCTTTCCTGCCCACTCCCAAATACTTTCTCTAGATGGGCAAAAAAGTTCAGTGAATAATGCAGGGCAGGAGGACAGGTAGGTGAAGATTGCTTCTGCCACTCTTCCCACACTGTAAATCAAGGACTCAGGGGTGTACTCCTGTTGATACAGTCCCATAGATCCAGTTTCATGGTGAAGCAGGTCTATGTTTTGTTATGTTTATAATTAAAATTGGTTTGCAGACTTGTGTGATGTAAGTAGTAAAGGGTTAAAACATTTGGGATTGGTGGGTGGATTGGAAACTCATATGCAGAAAAATAAGCTTTTTACAATCTGACCCAAATCCTTTTGATTTCTGGCTAAGCTGCCTTGTCCTTTGCTATCTTTTTCTGCAATGTATGTTTCACCAAAGACAGTGGAGTGGGGAGAAATGAGAAAAAGGACGGTGGGTTGCAACCAGACATCCTTACTAACAGGTGTGTCAGAAAAATTCTCACTGAGAATTGTAGTTTAACAGGGCCTGCACATCCTGCCTTTCCCCTTGTTCTGGAGATGTTCAAGGATACAGTTGCACAAGGTTTTAAAGGTATGCTCAGAGGGCCAAGTCCAAGAGCTTATGTAGATTATGTTGCATTAGCATTGTTGTTAGTTGCGAAGTCTTGTCCAACCCATCGCAACCCCATGGACAACATCCCTCCAGGCCTTCCTGTCCTCCACCATCCCCCGGAGTCCACTCAAGCTCACACCCACTGCCCCAGTGACTCCATCCAGCCACCTCATCCTCTGCCATCCCCTTCTTTTGCCTTCAGTTGTTCCCAGCATTAGGCTCTTCTCCAGGGAGTCCTTCTCATTAGGTGGCCAAAGTATTTGAGTTTCATCTTCAGTATCTGGCCTTCTAAAGAGCAGTCAGGGTTGATCTCCTCTAGGACTGACCAGTTTGATCGCCTTGCAGTCCAAGGGACTCATAAGAAACTTATCTGGCAATGTCCATAGTGTTAACTGGTGCATTAGGGCTCCTTGGAAAACCCATTGCCCCTGCTAACATTGTTGGCATTGGACTAGAGGTCCTATATGTAATACAGTGCAATTTATATTAGTGGCTGGCTGGATCCTGCCCAGAATCTTTTTCAGGCTTATCTGGGGAAAGGCCTCTAGTTTTTGCTTCAGGATAAATATCTTCAAAGGAGGCATGACACAAATAAGCTAAGGGGGGAATTACCTCCAGTGCCACCCGTCTACACAATGCAGTAGCAGTACGTAGGTAGGTCGGTCTATTTCAGCAAAAATCCATGTAGTTTATTACCATATATGGAGGCAATCATTTCCCTTCTGATCAAAAACCACATAAGGGAGAGTTGAGATGCTCTCCATAACTAGGAGGATAAGGGTCCATAGCAGGGAGGATGCGCAGCTGGTGTGAGTGCCCCATAGTATTCAGAACCCTGATAAATTGTGGGAACCTACACGGGAAGAACAAGCTTCTGCAGACATTTGCCCTCCGTATCATGGAGGTTGAGGGAGCAGAGCTGGCATGGTCACTTACACTCATTGTGTGTGTTGTGGTGTGGGGGCAGAATGCCTGTGTAGGACTACCGTGGCTTTGGGATCTTGCTGTCAGTGGGGGAGTGGCTGAAGAGTAGGAAAAACTGCTTCAGTCCTGAGTGAATCAATGAGTTCTTTTGGCATCATCCTAGAGTCCCTTATGGCAGACTGTATAGGTAAATTCCTGTAGAGTTAGCCTTGCAGCTACTTCCCTAGTCAAATCAAAGTCTGCAGGTTTAGGCTAAACCTATGTTCATTTGGGAGTAAGCCACACTGACAATAGGCTTGTTTCTAGGCTTGCTCTTGTGCTATTTAGCCTTTTGTTAACTTGAGCCTGCCATATCAGTTCCAAGGAGGGCTCATCCTTAGCTGGTAGGTCTGTTAAAGGTAAAGGTTTCCCCATGACATTAAAGTCCAGTCATGTCTGACTCTTGGGGGCCCTGCTCATCTCCGTTTCTTAGCCAAGGGAGTCAGCATTTGTCTACAGACAGTTTCCGTGGTCATGTGGCCAGCATGACTAAACACCGAGGTGCATGGAATGCTGTTACCTTCCCACCAAAGTGATACCTATTTACCTACTTGCATTTATATGCTTTCAAACTGCAAGGTTGGCAGGAGCTGGGACAAAGCACGGGAGCTCACCCCATCCTTAAACCACAGATGGGTAAAGTGGTGGAGAGTAAGAAAGGCCGTGTGTGTGCTTATTTATTTAATAGCTATATGTATATTGCAGAATACACCCAGTTCAGCAAGCAGTTCAGAACATTGAAACACAATGTGTAAGACACATATGTATAGAAAGAGCCAACTTGTTTAACAAAATAGCATCATCCATGCACAAGAGGGAAGTCTCCATAGGCTTAGGGAAGTGCTAAAGTTTGCAATGCCACAATTTCCTCACCTCCCACCCTGAGTCAAAATGGCCTAGTGAGAACTGAGAAGGTTAGTGGCCAAGGAATACTGACTGGTTGTTGGATGTGTGCAGAAAACTATGGAATGAAATACATTATTTTACAGAAGCATGTTGCTGGCTGATTGGTTGGCACCTTGAACAAGATAACATGCTTGCATTTATAACATGCTTGCTTGCATTTATATCTTGCCTTTGTCCCTCTTGAAAGAAACCCAGGGCAGCTTACATGGTCCTCCTCCATTTTATCCTCACAACAACCCTGTGAGGCAGGTTCTGCCGCAGCTCACTCTTGCATGTGTATTATTCGCATTTGAGATTGCATCTAATGAAGTGAGCTCTAGTACACAGAAACTGTACTGTGCAGGACCTCCGGCGGTTAGTGCCTGGAGACTTTTCCGATTCTCCAGAGAGACCTTGCGGTCCAACGGGCGCACGACCGGATCGTGAGAGCCTCATTTCTTTCTTTAGGCCGAAGCTGATCCTAACCCCCTGCTGCAAATGTAGCGCCTCGTAGCCGGGATCCTTTCCCCGAGGCAGTATTTGTGCAGGGGAAGACGGGTGCCTCTGACCATGCTCAGAGGCACCGTTCTCCCTCAGGAGAGGCTCCCTGCCAACACGCCCTCGGTGCGCTGCCCAAGAGTCCCTTTCCGGCCGGAGGAGAGGCGCTTCCCCTGCCCCCCGCGCGGCTCTCCCTGCGGCAGCCCCGCCAGGGCTGCTCCCTGCGCAGAGAGGAGCAGCGGCGGGGCGGCGCTGCACCGTTAGGCGGCGGAGCAGCCTGTTGGTCGCCTCGCTGCCCGCCCGCCCGCCCTGCGTCGGTGCCGCCGGCGGGCTGCTCACGTGAGCCGGAGCCCGGCTGTTACCTGGAGAGGGGCCGCCGCCTCTGCGCTGTCCTTCGAAGTAGCTGCAGCGGGAGAAGCAGCCTCCGCCGCCGAGCTCCCAAGGCCAGCAAGGTGAGCTGGCGCCGCGGCGGGCGGGCGGGCGGGCAGGGTCTTTCCTCCCCATTTCCCTTCTTTCTGCCTGTTCCTTGCCCCTGCCCCCTGCGGGGTGGGGGTGGGCGGGGAAGTCTGGTAAATGCCTGCCGCCCGCCCGCAAGCCGGCTTCAAGGGTATGCCTGGAGATGCATTGTCTCCACGGATGCCCCGAGACCGGGAAGGGTCATAGACCGCCCCCGCCTGCATCTGGAGTGTGGCTGTCCGGAGATGCTGCCGTCGGGCTTTCCGTGGATCACCTTCCCGCCCCTTTCGTGGATGGATCCGGGGCGATTTATGGAAAGCAGTGGATCTTCTCCTCTCCCCGCCCCACTCCTTTGCGGATGAGTTCTGGAGAAAGACTCCCGGACCCATCTTGGGAGCTTGGAGCCGTGCACCGCACTTTCTCTCGCGGCTTGATGACTGGAAGCAGCCGCTACTGGAGGCGTGAATGGCCCCCGGGAGGAAATGGTCTTCGAAGCACTGGCTTGGGTCTTTTGGGCCATGATGGCCAGCCCCTTCCATGCATGAGAGCCATCACTTGATCAGTGTTGCATGCTTTGCTCATTGGATGGCTGTGGATTGCATCCAGTATTAGTTGAAGCATTAGACCCACTGAAATGATAGAGTCCACTTTCAGAGCGACTGGGTACAGCAGGATTATGTCAGCTAATACTGGATACAGCCCTGTGAGTGGAACTCTTTTTTCTGCACCTCTCTTTCCCAAACTACAACATTATATACCCCATAGCGTGTAGGATTTCATGCTGGGAAATATAGAGAGTTGAATTCACTCAGCTTACAGATACCAGAGCATTTGCACCTCTGGATTTTAACAAGTTACAGGTATTTAGATGATGTATTAATAGCCACAAAGCAATATGTGTGTAATTTTATTCAGTGGTTGGGTGTGCATATGTTGTTGAGATGCTTAAAGGCTATTGGGGTGTGTGTGTGTGTGTGTGTGTGTGTGTGAAATAACAGTAGAGATACTCTGTCTATATGTAATGCCAGAGAGTATAAATGCAGGTATGCTAGCAGTAGTAACTCCCCCATTTTAAGTTTCTGAGCAGTTTTAGCAGCTAACAGGTTCCAGCATCTTCACATATTTTGGCAATCTTCACCCACCTTCTGTAACCTTTGATCAGTTCTATCTTTTTGTAACGGAGCCTTGTCACACTTGCTGTTTCATTTACAACAGGTGGGGTCTGTCTGGAATCCATTGTCTAGTCTTAATATGGCTACCCTGATTTTTTTCCTAAACTTATGAACACTGAGGTGATCATAAACTGTGAAAAGCATTATTACTATTTTGATTGTTTCTAGGCTTCAGAAATGCAAATACAAAAGTTGTTCCTCTGACATTAATTCAACAATGTTTCAAAGTAACAATATTGGATTTTAACACAGAAACTTTGCACTTTCTACCTGGGTAAAATAACAAGTTTAGTCTCAAGGCTACATTTTCAAAATCATATTTTGGTTTTGAAGATTAACACCTATATTTTTTAAATCAAAACAGGCTTTATAATTTACATCTGCTTTTCTGTGGT